GAACTGGGTTGCAATTTTTTCACCCGCGAATAATGAAACTGTGAATAAGGAACTTTTACTCTTCAGTAATCAATAAATAATACAAATTAGGACAAACAACCTTATACAAACACAATCTTGATTACCATTTTTTATTAGGCAGAGTATTTATTATACTTATTAAATTATTATTTCTAGTTTTGGTTTTTTCTCTGATAGAATTACCCAGCACTGCCGAATACCCGCGGTATCATTATCCAGTACTCGGCTGGATTCCAAAAAAGGGTGGATCCGCCGGGTACCGTATCCAAACCGGATACGGCAAAACTTCACTGAGTCAGGGGGCTCGTAGATCTTTAACTAACTGTTCCTGATTAATTACATATTTGATCAAATTTTAAAGAAAACATTACAGATTTTCTATAATGAAAAATGTAATACTATTTTCAGGCTGTATGTCACGTATATATGTCGTGTGTATGTACATATGTACCATGTACGTGTGTTAGTAAGAAGTTCCCCTACGAATAACCTATCTACAAGCATTTTACATCTATTGATTTTTATATCGCCAACATAAATATAGAACGAGTGGTAGATGTTCATGTGCTTTTCGATACCTCCGTCATTAATTCATCCTACAAATCGATTTAGACCTGCTCTGCTTTATGTAGGTACCTGTCTATTACTGTGAAAGTACTTTTTAAATAAAACATTTCCATGATCGGATAGAAGCATTTTGTCTAAAGATTAACCGACAATAAGGATAACATCGTTACCACAAATTTTTATTTCGTTAGAAATTTTTCCAAGCTTTTTCATTATCAAATTAATGCAAAAAAATATGGATTTATAATGATAATTACTCAGGATTTCTGACAATCATAAGAAACTTGCCGATATTATTTCCTATAGTAAAAGGTTTTATGGCTGTTTTGTTCTGTTTTCTGGAATAAATATTAAGCTCGCACTGGAAATTTTTGAACTTGCCCTGACTGCTAATCTGAACTTGCTAAGGATTTCATTTTTCGAAATTTTTACTAAAACTTCTGAGGCGGACAGTAGTAGCAGTACTGTACTAGTAAGTACAGGGAGGAAGCGAGCATTCAAAAATTTAAAAATAAAGCAGGAACAAGTGAGGGAGTGGTACAGGGAACGGGCAATTGTAGGCGAATTGATTAGGAATAGATGCAGAGAAATAATAAGAGGGAAGGATTTTGGAAAAATAGAGAGATCTAAATATGTGATGTGTATAGAAGAGATAATATGGAGGGATTGGTAGGAGGACTGGTTGCCAAGGTATTTAAAAAGAGGGAGGCAAATAAGTAATAGCAAAATTTAGGACAGGGAATGAATGTAGAGGATATAGATATAGGGTATGTGAAAGCGAGGAAGAAAGCTTGGAGCATATGTTAGGTAGGGTTTGACAGTTTTTCAAACCCGAGACACATTTTTCAACGTTACGAATTGCGTTAGTTAACCATCTACAAAATAGTTCTGTTGTGTACTATCTTTAGCTTCAAAAACCAAAATTATTAAACTATCTGGAAAGATTTTAACTAGAATAAGCAAATCGATGAAACTACTCATCAAAGCAACGCTTTTTTTTAAAGGATGGAAAAATCAATTTATAAGCTCCTCATAGACCCTAAAGAAATATATACAGATTCAAAGACACCAAAAGATGAATTTTCATTATTTGAAGCAACGAATAACAGAGTCAAAAGCTTAGATTTGTTATTTGATGCCTTGAAAACTGTAAAACCAAGCTCAGTAGGTAGTGAAGCCTTCAAGGAGAAAACTAAATTTTTATGACAACGCAAAAATTACACAATTTTCTGTTGTAAAAGACTGAATTTGGCGTAGAAATAGTAGGATTTATTAGGTCACTTGTAATAATCTCAATTTTGGCATGTTTTTTTTTAAATTATTTCAAGTTTCTTAATTGTTACAATTTAATTTGTATTATCAACTAAGATACCTAGTAAATTTATTTCTTCTGGGGTTTCATTTTCACAAATTCGGGTCCAAACTGTAATTTTCATTATTTTCGCCAACGAAGGTAAATTTTCGTTTTTCATTTTCTCCGTGCAGTTAACAGAAAAATGAATTTATAGAAAATTTTAACTAAAATAGTTGCCAATCAGAATATAGAATATAAAAAACTGATTCATCTTGATATCCAAGTAGTGTGAATTTCTCTTACATTCGCAGGGACAGATGTCAAGTATTTAAGACGATGAAAGGTTAATGTGGCCTCCTTTGGTTCCGGTACAATTTATTCACAAATGCAATTTGAATGAAAAGAGAGGAAGTAACGCCACTGGTCACGGTGAAAACTTAGCGAGGGCGGCACCCACTGTTGGTTGCTAAGAGTTGCTTCCGATCGAAATGTGTTCGTGGAAATTCGCTGGCTTTCGGTTGGAGTTTTCCNATTAGAAAATAGGGTAAATTTTATCAAATCTTTGCATTTTACCGTAGCTTTCCTAAGCGATATGATCTGGTACGTATCCGAAATGAGGGAAAAGTACCAAAACTAATCATGTAATATAATTGGTAGATAACTTTACAATCTGAGATTTCGTGTTATTCAAAAAAGCAAGTTTTAAGATGAAACTGAAGATTGCAGATTTGAACGGCGTCAGATTGTCTGTTACAGCGTTTAAGGGTTGAATATGAAATTAAGTAGAGTAAAAAAGGCCTAGCAGTTTAGACATGGGGTCGTTGGACACATACACATAATATACATGCATACCCACGCACGTACACTAGGATAAAACGGATTCAAAAAGTGCTTAATTGAAATTCTAGATATTTTTCAAATTTACATTTATGTATAAAAATTGCGTAATAATCATGATAAAGCTGAACAGTAATAACGTTTTGAAACTTTGCAAATTAATTTTTAATTAATTTAGTAACTTGTACAGTATACAATTTTTGATACAGCTTTGATATTTATGCTTAAAAATACTTTCTTACTCAAACTATATTTGATTTACAATGCATTTCATTTAATTTTATCGATTTACTTATTTTTATTTAAAATACAAATTTAAAAAAGCTTTAGGACATTCGATTTACCGTTACATTATATTAAAAGAAAACAAACAGGACTTTACTCTGCATTTGAATTGAAAATTCCCAAAAGTTGAAAATTTAGTTACAGATGATTGATAGGGGGTAATGAATAATTTCAATAATAAAAGTGAAGTGCAAAGCATGCTTTTGCAATCAACAATCCTTGTTTGTACAACCACAGCACGTACATACACACTGATACCTTTTGCAACTCATCACCTATTTTTGTATTTGCCATTCAGCGCCTTCCTATGGATTTTCCTGTGCAAAATTTTCAGCATTTTAAGCACTGATTTCCAGCGTAAGGAAATTATGAACGAAGCACGACTTTAACAGTACCGTTTAATCAATATTACAACTAGAACAACCGCTTCTCACTCAACAGAACTGACAATCGGATATTTTTTGTTTTTGAAACGGAACAAGGAAAAAAAAAAGTGAAACGAAAACTTAAAAAGCTCGTTCAGAGTCGTAAGCTGCACATACGTTTTTCGCACGCTAGTACGACACCCTGCTCTCGTTCAAGAAAATGCAACAAGAAAATGTCGACCGGAATCCAAGATACCACCGAACTTCACGAATTAAAACAGTTCGATAACTGAACTTGAATGAAACTGATACGGAACTAATGAAACCAAGCTTTTGCTAAACGATAAAATTCACAATTATTAGTAATTAAACGGTAATTGTTTTAAACGTCTCTGTGTAAATTTAGAACGGCCCCGTCTTTTGCTACAGTCTCTTCCCAGTCGTTCGACTTTCTACGAGCTTTTCCGATTTTCCACCTTCGTCCTGTAGGATACGTCTATATATATATGTACACACGTTTATGTGCTCATGTATATACAGTACACAGCGGATTTGATCCATTGAATCGTAAATTGAACTACCACAAACCGTGATTCGTTTAGTTATTTTTCCAAACTATCGACAATTAAATGAAAACAACAACAGCAAGCTTTAATTGGATATATTTTATGTCCAGTTTGAAACTTTCGTTTTATTTAACTGAACCCCCTTCTCCTGAGCTTTTTGTTGCTTATGCAATCAGTCGACCGCAGCGTTTGAATATTTGCCTAACAATTGAGATGTTTAAAAAGCTCTCTATTTGATTTAATTAAACACAAATAAAGTTCTTTTAATGCTAATTTACGATTTGTTTAATGGAGTAAACAGTTTAATTCGGCATTTTTTTTACCTATTCGTCTTAACACTAATTATAATAAGCAGCACCTCAGTACGAACTTGTTAAGCCTACCCTGATTGCACAGCCCTGCACCGAAACGCAAAGAAAAGCCATTTAAAACGAAAAATTAACTTCAAAGTAATGTCATCAACTGCAAAACAAATGATTTTGGGAGTAAAATATAATCATGTTTCTCTCATTGGGTTAAATGAAAAAATATAAACAAATAATTGCTCGTTCAAAAAAATTTAACCATTTTGTTTTTAAAATTACCGTTTGTGTTGTATAAATTTTTAATTACCATTAGCATACTAGTGCAAGCTAGAGTACGAATAAAACGTCTGCTTTTAATGCAACGTTTTAGAAACACCCAGTATGCATATGACTACAATATAAAGCAAATATCATGCAAAGTACGAATTATCTGTTTGTTTATCTGTTGTGAAGGAGGATGTTTTGGGGTTATTATTGGCAATTTTATCACACGAATGACGTTAATGAGATAGTAAAATTTGCTAAAACGCATTTATTTAATGATGATAGATACGATTTATACCTAAAACGAATAATTCGTGTCGGTGAAATAAATTCGAAAGATGTACCTAATAAAAAATACATTACTAATAATGGTTACATAATTAAAAAAAACTTTTACCAATTTGCATTACATAATAATCTGGTCATAG